ATTTCGAATATATTTGGGCACATGCACAAACAATATTGCCAATGCATGTATGCTTCACGTTCCCGACTTTGTGCATCCAATAAACGGCTCTTAGTACGGCTTAGTGTTTCCGACATGCGATATGAACGAACCGAGTTATGAAACTTTGGTTCCAAAGTGTAGCCAGTCTGGTGTAAGTGCCTAAAAAAATATTTTATCAAGGTTCAATAGAATTTTTGGCCAAAACTTTGTTTTGTTGGATAGAGTGGCATAAAAGATTGCAGCTGACATATCTTCATATCACCTGATGGAAAAATATGGACATTTACAATATCAGGAGTTCCAAGTATGCTAGCATGTTGCCGGCATTTTAAGGGTTAAGGAATTAGTATTTAAAGTGGTTATAACGACTAGGTTTTGAGAAAGTATTGGTCTTACATTATCTCTCTCTCACACGGCGAAACAATTCATGTATACCAAAAACTAACTACTTAAAGGTTATTTGAATAATATTGAGTATAAATTTAGCAATCCTTGTCTTATGCGAAAAGACTAGCGATAACATTATAATAAAAATGGTATATAAAGATGCGTAAAAAAGAGGTTCATATTCAATTTAAAACCACCTCAATTTGATTATGCCTGCAAAACTTTACAGCAGGATGTAAATGACCTCTGGATGCACTCTGCAGTATCCCTAAGAACAGCTATAAAAACTAAAACCTCACAATCAAAACTCCACAATATTATGTAGTAGCAAACGAAAAAGACTTACAGTTCTACTAATGAAAAAAATAAATTCCGCTAACCACAAACGCAACTTCAGAATTAAGGTTTAAAAAAAGTCAAACACACTCAGGGTTTTTTCACGTAATGCTTGATTCTTGAAAAACACGTCCCCTTATACCTAATATAAAAGCGTACACACATGTAATCCAACCGAAATATGACACGGTTTCAGCCAACTTTCAGCCTGAAAGATTACGAACAAGGAAAACCACTTAACTGCACAGTGGTTAGCGGACGCAGTTTTTCTTTTCTACACTTCTTTCTCTATGTAAAATCCTTAAATATGTTTTGGAGGTTGGATGAATTATAATTTGTATTACTATTAAATATGTATGTAAGAGTTAAACATGTTTCAAATAAAGATTCCTACAGAGAAGAACGATCGAAAAACCCCATCTATACTTAAATTTATTATAAAGAGGTAAAATTTGTAAGTTTGTATGCAGGGGTAATACTTGGCACCGCTGCGCTGGTCGGATTTCCAAAATTCTTACGCTGGTAGCGAGCCACAATGTTTTTATATATTTTTTGAGTACAATATGGTTACAAACACTAAAAACTTAAAAACCACATTTCGATTTAAAATATTTTCAAAACTAGTTTGAAAAGTTACTTTCTTATTATGCAGAAATCACTTTAATATTCGTAAGTACGTTCCTTGAAATTTTCATATGAATACTTTCATTTTAAAATATTACCTTTTTTGCTAGAACGTTGCCAATCTTGCTTTTTAAAAGCTTCTTGCCTTTGGCCTGCATTGAGATTATTGACAGATTATTGACGTTGCAGATTGCAACTTGCTTATGTAAGTAAATATCAGTACATAGTATAAAACAAAGTTATTTTCTATGTCCCTATATACCTATGTAAGCTTAAATCTTTGGAATTACGCAACGGATTTTGATGATGTTTTTTTAGTAGATAGTGATTGAAAAGGAAGGTGTATGTATATGCGCAATCATCAGCCTTTATGTGCCCACTGCTGAGCAAAGGTCTCTTCTCATACGGAGAAGGTAAGAGCATTAGCATCGAAACTACAATTTGGAACGAGCACCTAGCTTCACTGACGAACAGACTGACAGACTACTATTGTATTTTGACGTTTCAAAAGTACCTATTTATGGTTTAGTTGGAATAAATGATTTTGATTTGATTAATTACCACGCTTGCTCAATGCGGGTTAGTGATTTCATACTTATTAAATTAGAAATTATAAGTTCATATTTCCTCATGATGTTTACCTCCACCGTATGTCAGTGGTGTCTAAATGATTATAGAAAGTACATATAACTCGGAAAAAGTCACATTGGTACTTGCCAGGTTTCGAACACACACCCTCATGCATGAGAAGCGGGCTCCTTAACCTCCGGGCCACCACGAGTACGACGACGACATATGTGCAATAATATCTATTAAATAGTGGAGAAAATTTTTGTATCAGCATTGAGGCCGGGATGGGTCGCTAGTTTAGAATGAAATAGAATATCTTTGTTGTAAAACCATGTATGAATACAATGGCCACACATAAAATCGGCGTGAAACTACCAAAAAACAACAAAGCGTTGTATTTCACTGTGTGAGTGAGTGAGATTACCGAAGGCCCAATCCTTTCCCTCTCCAAAGCTAAAATCTCCAAATCCCTAATCCCCAAAAGGACGACAACGTAGGAGTTACGAGTGCGTTGTCGTCCTTTGGCAGCGTCCTTTTGTCCATGAGCAGCGCTAATTGTTTTCCATCAGGTAGGTAATCGTTTTGCTCATTTGCCGACCTATCACATACTTATGTATAAAAAACAACATTCAACATCTCGATATCCGAATACAAGACTTAAAAAATAATCAATTATAAATAATATATTTCGAATATATTTGGGCACATGCACAAACAATATTGCCAATGCATGTATGCTTCACGTTCCCGACTTTGTGCATCCAATAAACGGCTCTTAGTACGGCTTAGTGTTTCCGACATGCGATATGAACGAACCGAGTTATGAAACTTTGGTTCCAAAGTGTAGCCAGTCTGGTGTAAGTGCCTAAAAAAATATTTTATCAAGGTTCAATAGAATTTTTGGCCAAAACTTTGTTTTGTTGGATAGAGTGGCATAAAAGATTGCAGCTGACATATCTTCATATCACCTGATGGAAAAATATGGACATTTACAATATCAGGAGTTCCAAGTATGCTAGCATGTTGCCGGCATTTTAAGGGTTAAGGAATTAGTATTTAAAGTGGTTATAACGACTAGGTTTTGAGAAAGTATTGGTCTTACATTATCTCTCTCTCACACGGCGAAACAATTCATGTATACCAAAAACTAACTACTTAAAGGTTATTTGAATAATATTGAGTATAAATTTAGCAATCCTTGTCTTATGCGAAAAGACTAGCGATAACATTATAATAAAAATGGTATATAAAGATGCGTAAAAAAGAGGTTCATATTCAATTTAAAACCACCTCAATTTGATTATGCCTGCAAAACTTTACAGCAGGATGTAAATGACCTCTGGATGCACTCTGCAGTATCCCTAAGAACAGCTATAAAAACTAAAACCTCACAATCAAAACTCCACAATATTATGTAGTAGCAAACGAAAAAGACTTACAGTTCTACTAATGAAAAAAATAAATTCCGCTAACCACAAACGCAACTTCAGAATTAAGGTTTAAAAAAAGTCAAACACACTCAGGGTTCTTTCACGTAATGCTTGATTCTTGAAAAAACACGTTCCCCTTATAATGTAAAAGCGTACACACATGTAATCCAACCGAAATATGACGCGGTTTCAGCCAACTTTCAGCCTGAAAGATTACGGACAAGGAAAACCACTTAACTGCACAGTGGTTAGCGGACGCAGTTTTTCTTTTCTACACTTTTTTCTCTATGTAAAATCCTTAAATATGTTCTGAAAGCTAGATGAATTATAATTTGTATTACTATTAAATATGTATGTAAGATTTAAACATGTTCCAAATAAAGATTCCTACAGAGAAGAACGATCGAAAACCTCCACCTATACTAAAATTATAAAGGGGTAAAATTTGTAAGTTTGTATGCAAGGGGTAATCCTTGAAACCGCTGGTCGGATTTCCAAAATTCTTACACTGATAGAGAGCCACAATGTTTCTATAGGCTAAGGCTATAAATTATACTTGATTTGCGTATTATTTTTAGTCGAACTATCGTTTTAAGCGCTGCTGTATTTAAAATCTCGTGATACATTACTTTAAAACGCGTGCGAAGCCACGGGCCGAAACTAGTGATTAATAATTATCAACCAGTTTCACAATCACATCTTTCTTATTACAATTACTCATGATCCTTACTATTGCTACCATAAAATACTCCCATACTTCCTTTGCTTGCTCTATTTTCCTACCTAGTTATTATAAATGTATGCCACACATAAGCATAGCATATACTAACTTTAAGTCCAGCACCATTCTCTGTTTACCAAATAAATCAACAATATCTTAAGTAAGTTAGCCTCTCTGAGAGCTATTTCATCTTCAAAACTAAAGTCCTAAATCCAGTGACAGATGATACTTAGATCAACATCCTAGCAAGACAACAACTCCAAACATCACAACAGATGTCAGTAATTGAGAAGAAAAGTTTTATAACAACACAATTTGTGGTGTTTATTCTATCTGTCAAGATATCTATAACTGGGATACGAAGTTTGTCAAAGTTATCTCTCATAGTCATGTCCGCAACTTGTCTCAACTTTCAAAAATGTTCTTCATATTTCTCTCAAAGTTTTTTATCTTAAATCTTTAGATATAAATGTAATGGAGTTTTAGGAAAAAACTTCTTTTAGACATTACTGTTTTTTGGAGTACGGAGTGTATTGTATTCTGTAATTTGTAAAGGGTACTTATCCATTTTTTAAATTTTCTCGGGATCTCCCCAATATAGAAGGAGCAGGCTAAATTATGGAAAATTTAAATATAACTACATCTATCATAACAATTCGACGTATTAAAATAGTTACGATAAATAAAAGAACAACACAATTTCTAACAAAACACCCACTATATTTTCGATAATTTAATGTCATTTTAAACCACGTAGCGGAACAAAGGTTAAGAAGATAAAACAATAACTAAAACCTATGTATACTTATATACAAACGAATAAATCTACAAAAATGTAAGCACACCACACCACATCCGCAGTCACGGTCAATCAAAGGGTATGTTGGACCGCGCAACTTACTTGAAACGTGTTAGAAATCCAGATTGAACCCGATCCCAAATCGAACCCGTCTTTGTTTATCAATCAGAGTACTTCCGACGAGGCGCAAAACGCGGACCTCATTATGAGGCTCATAAAACAGAATATCTCTTTGGAAAGTGAAGCCTCCGCAACGCTGGGAGTCCACAAATATTTTCAGCTCAGAACCGTTCTGGTAATTCTTGTGCATCGCCAAGCTCACCGTGGTCTGCCCAGCTCGGCAGCCCTCTGTTATTATCGTCGATAAACTCAAGTCTGGTGAGAACTGTTTGTAAAGACACACCTGGAAGCCGACCTTGCTGGCCGTGGAAGATACTGTGAAGCTGGGCCTGTCGTATCGAGCACTGATCGAGATTTCCGGGGTCGGCGGGTACATTAGCGGCTTTAATCCAATCTCAGTCCCAAAACACACATCCGGGCGAATTTTGTACATCCACTGCGTCACCATACGTAAAGTGTTTGGGTCCACATCTCTAACAGAACACGAAACCGATCCCACAGACTTGTCATTCTCTTTTTCAAGCACAATCTCCGTGTCTGACGACACCAAATCCTTAATTCTTGTTGTCAGTCTCACTAGGTAACCACCGTCAAGGATCTCCTTATATGTAGCTGTAGCTGAACCAGCGGAATCTACCAGCAACCCTTCATCGGTGTTCTTCGGTTCCATTTCCTTGTGAATAAGCTGGGAGAAACACCTGTAGGATTCTCTAGTCTTCCCATAGCTGTATTGTTGAACCAGTTTGACTCTGTCCAGGACCTCTCTGAGGACAATGAGGCGGGCGCCGACAAAGCACTTCGGGAACGTATTCTTTGCCTCGGCGTGAACGTCACATAGCTTCGTAATTTTGTGTCGCTGAGGTTCCACCACTATTATGTCTTTCTTCTTTGGCAGTAATCGCTGCAGAGAGGAGACGAAGCTGCTGACTTCCTCCTTGATCTTGTCCTCGTTTATGTCCATTGTATTGTAATTTATGTTTTATTTTATTTATTGGGTAACAGGTCAGACGTCATTGACCTGTCTGGTTTTATTTTCGTATCGCTGAGCGTTGACGACGTGTCCGGCCAGTCGCACGCTGCAAGGAGTTTGTTGTATTTTTAGTTGTCTTTGAGATTATATTTGACACTTCCCTTAGTGCAACATGTGTTTACCTAGTACTGTTCGAATAACTGCTCCCAGGTAGACAATATTGGTTACCTACTTTATTGTCAATACCGCTATAAACTTATCAGACTCTAAAATTGAGTAGTTACACAACCGTATTTTTTTCTAAATAATTCTCAACTTATCGCAAACACTTTTATATTTAAACGCAATAAATCAAAACAGGAACAACACTTCCTCAAAAGGTTAAAAACAATGCATAAAATATTTAATAGACAATTTGAGGTTTCATTTAAAAGATGGCGTCAGTTCGTGTCTCTGAGCGTTTAATAAAGAGGCCGTCAATCCGTCGACTGTCCATTCATGGGTCATTCATTCCCATTCATTGATGACATAGATATTTATGAGACCATGGCTCTGCTAACAATACCGTCTACGATGTATTAATGGATACATGTTTCAAGGATGTTTATATCAAGAATTGTAGTTATGAAGGTATTATTAATACTATATTATATTATTAATACTACCTTAATAACTACAAGAAATAACACAAGTACAAGTAATAATGCAATAAAATTTTTTTTTTGCTGATTTTGATTTGATATTTGGGCTGATGGTTTTGTGTTGAAATTGATTTAGTAGGTTGCCTGTTTGTGTTGATGAAAGAAAACTAAGTTTATTTATTATCAAATAGCAGAGGTGGAGCTTATTGTTATACTTTAAAAACTGTGTGTTGCGGGAAGGCATAAGCTGAAGAGAATGATGGCGAAATCCATACGTCTCAGTGAGGGTTGGCTGGCCACTTACCTTTTTTTTAAAGGTCATGGTCAATGTCTGCTCGTTTGCCGATCTATCGGCAAACGAGCAGACGGATTACCTGATGGTAAGGAATCAGCGCCGCCCATGGACACTCGCAACGGAGGTGTTACGAGTGTGTTGCCGACCTTTTAAGGATTAGGAATTTGGAGACTTAGGGATTGGGGGAGGGGAAGGATTGGGCCTCCGGTAACCTCACTCACACGGCGAAACACAACGCTGTGGTTGTTTTACGCCGGTATTCTGTGAGGCCGTGTTACACTCCGGTCGAGCCGACCCATTCGTGCCGAAGCATGGCTCTCCCACACTTAAAACTTGAATACTTTTCTTTTTTTTTTGAAAATTGACGTTTGCTTTAAATAAATTATTGTTAATGGTAACTAAATTGTGTCTATGATAATAATATGCGAGTAATTGAACATTTTCAGATCCATAATTATTATAGGATTGTAGTGTGAGAAAACAAGCTTCGGCAAGAATGGATCGGCTCGACCGGAGGGCCGGATACCATATGAAATAACCAAAGTGATGTGTTTCGCTGTATGAGTGAGGTTAGCGGAGTCTCTATCCTTTTATTACCTTCCCTACTCAATTCCTAAATCTCGTAGTGCTACGAGTGTCCATACGCAGCTCAGGTTGCTTACCATCAAGTAAATAACTCGTCTGCTCGTTTGCCGACATACCCATGATATAAAAAAGTGTCATTGTTGGAAAGTTTCTCGGAAAGAAATATGCAGAATGTTATATTAAAACAGAAATATCTTTATTCCTTTTAATTTAGCTAGGAGAGGTAAACAAAATGATTTATTATCTTTCTTCGCCACCTGAGCATCGAATCTTTCGACTTTGACATTTGAACCCTACCAATACCTACAATACCCTACCAATTCGCTAAAGCGAATTGGTGTAAATGTGACAGACAGTTGAACGGACCGATGTAAGTTCAACCCCTATTTATTTGATGAAGTAAAAGCTTTTGTACGATTGTTTGTTTTTGGAAATTGAACTTAGGTCTTAAAGGTTAAGTGATTGTAGATCTAGCTTAAGGTTGAATTAAAGGATAAGATTTCAGTGTTACATCATTTGTGACCTTTTCTTATTGATAAATATAGCTATTAATTTGTGTTTTGTGTTTGTACCTGATGGTAAGCAATCAGCGCCGCCCATGAACACACCATGGTTCATGGGCGGCGCTGATGAGTCGTTGTCGTGCCACACCAGCTTTTCAGGGATAAAGGTATTTAAGGTAGGATATTTAAGGTTTGGGAAGGGATGGGAGGGAGAGATATTGGGCCTCAACACAACGCTGTGGCATTACTCTGGTCGAGCCGACCCATATGTGCCGAAGCTTGGCTCTCCTACACTTGTGTTTGTTATGTGACGAAATAAATTAATGAACTATATATACGCAATGGAATCTGGTGTTATTTTTCTAGAAAATAAAATACAGAAAAACTGTAAAGAAAACCTGGAGTTTAGAAGTTTGAAATCGCCAATCCGCCTTGAGCAAGCGTGGTAATTAATGCTCAAACCGTCTCCGTGTTAGAAGAGGCTTTTGCTTAACAGTGGAAAACTATACATAGATTGGTGATGTGGTGATGTGATGACTATAACTATTTATCTACGCTTTACTGAAAGCTGAAAACCGAATTAAAAATACAAAATCTTCAACACATTTATTTCACAAACGCAGTAAAAACTGCTCTAACTAAGGCACAATTCGTTTTTAACCGAACCAAAGTTAAAATAAACGATGGTAGCGGATACCATAAATATTAGGTGTGAATTCCTCGACGTCTGTTCCCGGTTCGATACCCTAGTAGGTCAATATTTATTGCTTGCCGTGTGCCGTTTCACTCTCGCACCTATTTATTAGTTCGTTTTACTGAAAAAGTGCTGAAAACTTCGTGTTTTCAGAGGTATGTGCTTGTTTCTTTTAACTAACGGAAATGTGGTAATCGTACTTCGGTTGTCGATGGGTCCATGAAGGAGTGGGGAGATGTACTACTAGACGTCAGATGTTTTTTTTCATGCACTTGATGGTGAGCAACTATAAGAGGAGTTGTGAGTGCGTTGGCAACTTCTGGAGGTAAAGGATTTGAGTATTGGGGTTTCAAAGATGAGGAGGGGAAGGCTTGTGTCTCAGTTATACATTGAAACTTTATATTTATTGGTTGAGTGGTTGTAGATAGAGATATGGTTGTCAAATAAGGAATCTAATCTTTGTTTTTGAAGTCGAATAAAATATTTCTATGAGAACAGACAAATCAGCAATTAGCAATGATTTTATAGAATATACGATATATTTCATATACACATGTAAAAGCGAAAAGCGCTTTACGTCAAAATTATAAATATAAAGAACTAAATAGATGACTGCTGTCTGTAAATCAGGATTAAGGACATCAGTCCTAATTAATACCTAGGTACCTAGACTTTTTCAAGCACCTCATGTAATTATAAAAAAAAATTCTGCTAAAGTTAATCGTTCAATATTTGGACCCTAACGAAACCCTTTTACAGTTATTCAAAACATAATCCATATACTTCAAATATAACAAATGTTTATAAATTATGACTGGCACACCCTTCCGGGTTCAATACCCAGGTCAAACATTGTTTACAGTTTCAGATCGTTTCAGTTGCTATTGCTATACGTATAACATTAAACAGATGTGGTTAAATGGTTACCCGACTGTGTATAAAATGTGTAATGCTTTTAACTAAAATAGCTTACATGCGAATTGATGGTAAAAAGGCTATTTTTTGTGTTATTGTTAGGAAAACTTTATATGAGAAGAATTCTAAAACAGATAAAATTATTAAAGCCGCTCAACGACTCCAATTCAAAAAATCGGGATTATGGATACCCATTATCTATTTATATACATATTATACATATTGAAATTACTTTTAAGTTTCCTTATATACGAAACCTTAACAAAAAAAATTCTGTTTATTTATTAAATAATGAATTTAACAATCGCCAAAGAATACAATAAAATTGTAATTAATAATTCCAAATCTATACTAAGTTGATAAGCAAACCAAATTGTTAGGACCTCTCAACTCTAAGAACGGATTTCACAAAGTTATTAAGTGCTACCCTTAAGTTTCACTTGAATTTCAGATTTAAGACTCATTTAGTTTTCCCGAGCTCTTGAAATTAGGGATTAATTTTGGTATATTTTTCGAGTTCACTGAAAGTTGGGTCGTTTAGACACTAAGACGTAGATGGGGGTAATATATCTATAATCTCTTTTATTAATAGTCCTTAACTTTTTCGGAAATCAAATACTTACTAGAAAAAAAAAATGGATGCTTTGGTTTACGCGAAAATGAAAATCAAGGATAATAAATCAATAATAAAAAGTAATAAGACCAAAAATAAAAAAATATTGCACGATATTTATTTTTGTTTTTTTTTTCTACCCAAATTTTCAGGAAATAAATAACTGTATGCTATTTTTCGCTTGTAATATGAATTCGCAAGGCATAATTTCGAACAAAAATTAAAGTAGATAGAAAAAAAAAACAAGTTATATTACGAAGACTATAAATAAATTCCGGAAACTCTATAAAAAATCTCTGCAACGGTCAACATTTTAACTACAATAGCCTTGATAGTTTCTATTATATAAAAATGTTAAAAGGATTGCATTTTTATATTTTAAATTCAATTTTCCGACGTCAGCGCTATAAAGCCGAGCAAGAAATAGTACAAAACGGAATATCTTGTGTACAAAGCAGAAATGTATTTTTTGCTCTCCAATACTGGATTGCCTTTTAAACTTCGGCTTTGCATCTAAAGAGGCTAAGCAGGGTTAATGAGCTATTCAATAAAGAAATAGAAAGGTAAGATTTATAAACGATCGCCTTTTATTTTTGTATATACATAACTCTTTCGCGGTTTCATCCGCTCTCGGCTCCTACAGATCCTAACGTGATGTTTTATAGCCTCATACAAAGTTCACACCAAGATTTGTTCCCGCACGGAACAACTCTTTGTGTGATCCACAAATTGTTGTTCCGGGTCTGGGTGTCATGTGCATGTGAACTTGTATGTTTGTAACCGCACCTACGACACAGGAGAAAATCATAAATCCTAGTGTGGGGCAATGTAAAAAAAAAACAAAACAAACATTAAAACACAAAACTCACAAACAAAGGTTCAAATTTAACTCGCGAATATTAACTGTAACATTACAAAGCGACCTCTTAACCAAGTCACATGACTAACGCAGTTAATTGAATTAACTGTAGGTACCGCGTATCTTCTTATTTTTATGGCATCAGGGCGGCGAATGAGGGAACGAGAGATGATCTGATGATTTGACTGCACGTTGGCGCGGTGGCTGGGCAACTGGCTGCCGCGCAACGTGTCGCGGATTCGATTCCCGCACGGAACAACTCTTTGAGTGATCCACAGATTGTTGTTCCGGGTCTGGGTGTGATGTGCATGTGAAATTGTATGTTTGTAAACGCACCCACGACACAGGAGAAAATCCAGGTGTGGGGCAAAGTTTAAAAAAAAAAATTCTTCTCCCGCTTTTTGTAGTGAGAGCGTCAGACTCTTACAGTCTGAAAAACACCTTATTAAACACACATAACACCAGATACTTTTATAATTAGATACTTCTAAGTAGTACATAACAAAACTGTTAAAAAAACAACTAAGAAAAATCACTAAAATAGCATATCTTGTCTGGTTTGGTAAAAAAAATCTCCTTTAAACAACTCTTTGTCTCAATAGCGTCGGAAGAGGGCAGCGACAATTTTAAAATCGGGATCGCAGAAATGACTTCCCGGTACCGTGCCAAATTGCAACGTTCAGTGTCAAACTGTCTTTAAGGAAATAGTTGTGTGATATTATACAAACTAAAAGGAATTTTCGGAGTGAGAAATACTTATATATTTTCTGAAGCTTTATAATAATATAATATGGGCGTTTGTTGAAACCTTTCAACGAAATGTTTGATAGTTTCCTTGCTGTATGACTTAACTTTAAATCCAGCTTTATCCAATCAGCTTCTGGGCCCACTTGAGAAACAAAAATTCCCAATCATATGACACCCAGACCCGACCCGAAAATTTGTGATTAACACAATCAGTTCAAACCCTATGTGTAGGACTAATGTAGTCATTTGTAAAATCGTACTCAATTTATGACGTAAGACTGTGACCCTTTACTACTTATTCATTGTAATATTATGTATTGTAACTTCTGACAAAGTGATATTATGTTTTACCGAAAATGAACTTTTTAGTTCCTATTTTAAAGTATACGTTTTCTTGTTACAGTTGAACAATGTGGTCAGCAAAAAAGTGTTCTGACAACAACGCCAGCACTCCGTCCGCGGAGGAGGAGATCAAAGTGGTGCTGGTGGGAGACACCCAGTGCGGGAAGACCTCACTAGTCCAGAGGTTCGTCTCTGACACGTTTATTGAGGTAAGTGAAACATGTCATTGTGTAAATGAAACGACACATTTAGATTTTTAAACATACCCCATAAGTAACATAAGACTTTAAAATCATCAAATAGCTCTTCCCTGTGTAGGTGTTACTGACCAAAATCTACCCCGTTACTTCTTCTGCTCGGAGCCAAGCCGTGACAAAGGAGTCTACCCAAAATACCAGCTGGAAACTAAAATGTAACTTACATCCGTAATTAACTAATAAACACACACACACAAACAAACAAACACACACACACACACACACACACACACACACACACACACACACACACACACACACACACACACACACACCCACACGCACACACACACACACACACACACACACACACACACACACACACACACACACACACACACACACACACACACACACACATACACACACACACACACACACACACACACACACACACACACACACACACACACACACACACACACACACACACACACACACAATAAACCTAAGGGTGAACGACCCCAAATTAGGCGCACACTTGACGTCACCACAGATAATAAAGTACTCTCACAGCTTCAATTAACGTGTAGGTACACGAATCATAAACAGATAAATATAATCAGGTAGGTAGGTATCTATCTACTCGAAATTCCCTGAGAACACAATTAATAATCATGTTCAACGCAAATTCATTAATTAATCGACCATTAACATTAGTTTAATATGAATGTTTAAGCAATTTTGTCAGTTCCATGTTTGATAGGGATATTATGTTTTGGATTAGGTGATAATTTATTAAGACCAGTTTTCAGATTAGGAGATTGTGACCAATTCAGATTTTGGTACCTTTAATACTAGAATTTTCTATAAGACTTTAAATGCAGTTACTTGCACTTACAGTGGTAAAAACTGCTATCATCAACATTACAGCCGAAAACGTTCCACCCCCAAATCAAAGACCTAAAACCACCACTTCGAACAACTACTGACTATTGTCATCCATCGGCTCTTCGTGACTCTGACCATGTCGTCAGTCCACCTATCAGAACTCCGACCAGGCTCCACCTACCCACTCTAAGTCTTCAAAGGGTCAATGTTCACCAATTTGCTGTCCAAATTGTCGTCAATCATTTGAGCGACATGGCGTACCACCACTTCATCTTGCAAATTTTAAGAAATATCTCAGTAATTCTGGTTATTTGGTAAAATTCGTCACAGTTCTCTCCATCGGTCGCATCAGCTTTGAGTCTGTTTAGCTAGCCCCAAGTTAGTAAACAATGACTGCTAACCAACTATGAAACGAAAGGTCTTGACCTGCCTAAATAGATTATATCCATTTTGTTAATCGGAATATGACTCTCTGTCTATGTAACAGGAAAGTCCATAATTGATTGTGAGTCTTGGACAATGGTCTTCCACTTAGTGCAACTCATAAGCACATGGCATTGAGATTCCCGAAATACGACAGAGCATTTGAAGTCTGGAAAAGTCTTTTGAAATCCTTTTTTTGAAAGGACGCCTTCTCCCGCTTTAGATGGAGCTAGAAATAATTATATTCTTACAAAGAAACATCCCGTTCCTTCTCGTACTCGGAGTTCGATTCTTAATTAACCTACCTTCAAAATGTTCAGTAATATTATGTAAATAACATTTACACCGTCATCAATTGCATGTAAACAAAGACGTAAGATTAGATATGCAAATTCTCCATATAAATATCTCGTTCCAGGAAGCTATCGTGTCTCAATTAACCACCATAATTACACGATAACACACGACAGTCACAGATTAAATTTCACGCGCGTTAATTCATATCAGTCGCGACTGACAGTTTTGATTGACAGTTTGACATTGCCCGCCAAAATTACGACGCGAAGTAAACATATTTTCGTTAAACAACGAGAGTGAGAGATGAAAACGTCGTGGTAACAGCGAAATTACGTTTTTTGTATTTTTTTCCTCATTTTTCTCTTTTTTCGGCATTAGAATGATGGATTCCTTGAGTATAGCGGTAAGGAGTACCGTCTTCTAGTTATATGTATTGAAAATATCAAGGTTTAATAAAATATGTGGGAGTAAGAAGGTAACATATGAACACACTGTTTTTCCATACATTTAAAGCAAAGGAAGAAAGTTTTTTGAAAGAAATATTTAAAAAAATTGAGTACATTATCCGGAAATAATGATCTTTTCATCATTAGCGTAGTGGTTCAATAACCGTGCGAAGTAAGGGCGGACACTAGTTCTTAATAAAATTATCTATTGTTATATGGAACCTTTCTTTTTTAATTCCAGGAAAATATTTTAAATAATACTCCTGTCCTATATACTCCATGGTTGAAGAGATGAAATGAAAGGAAATGTCAGTTACTTGTCAATGTCAAGTAGCATTTGACGTCAAATACGTCAATAAATCTTTGCGTTTTGTTTTTCGTCGAACTGTCAGGTTGGGATTTGTTTTGTTTTTTCATTTAAAGGTTAAGTTTTGATATTATGAACCGGAAAATATTATTAAAATTCATTAGGTACTTATATATGTATATGTAGATACATTTATGCTATCATTTTGATCTCAATGCGTATTTATTTTTCTTTGTTCACTTTGCAAATTGGGGGACACAATGCTAAAAGCGTTTCTGCCATTAAAAGCAACAATCTCATCTGAACAAAGCGTCATTGGGTTCCTTTTTAGTTTTTCGAATATTTGTCAGCAACGGTACCTACGGTATCTCAAATTATGTGCCCTATACGATACGAAATAAACACGCCATCATAACATGGGTAACAGGAAAATTAGAGATACTGTTACGTGCCTGACGTCACGTTCCTGACTATGCGGGCTTGGGTTACGGGATTGGATGAAATGAAACACTAATACCGGTTTTCAGACTTTCTATTGCACTTAAGTTACAGCGTCCACGGAGTTAAGTTATCGGCGTTCCTCTCCAGCAGAGTCCGGCCGACTGACACAACTTTGCCGTTCACCCTAACTTCACTTAACTGACTGCACTTCACTATTTCACTGCACTTCACTATTTCACTCACTTTTCTTCTTTTTCACTTCTTCCTTTTCTTCCGAATCGCTTTAGACTTAGAACTCAACTGCCAGCGGTGAGCCGCAGTTCCGCTTATATACCCCCGGTCAGGTTCTAGAACATTCAATTTCGTTATTCTTTTTTGATCGTCATGCCTCCAGAACCTTCCAATAATTTCGTTATTCATTTTTATTTATTATCCTTCTCGCTCCTTAATTTTTCATTACTTTCACTCAAATATTCCAGAAAGTTCGACAAAACTTCCATCAACTAAAAAACTTCATGTTTACGGCGGGACTCGAACTCGGGGTCTCTGTGGTGTAATCCACACGCCTTACCGATTACACCAACTCGTGTTGACAATTCACGACGAAATTTACAATCTCTAGGCAACGTTTGACAACCATCCATTGACGTCATGATGTCAAAGAGTTTTCTGTCACACTGCCCCCCTCTTAGATTCGCTCGTCCCGAGCATCGTTGCTGCCGTAATACCTCGCCAACCTGTCTATATGGACAACTTTCAAAGGGCTCCTTGAAGACTTCCGAATTCTGTAAGTAATGTCATTGATCTTCGTGACTATCTCGTAAGGACCTTCCCAACTCGGTTGCAGCTTTGGAGATTTTCCCTTCCTTCTGACTGGATTATGAAGCCAGACCAATGACCCCTCTTCAAACCCAACAGAATTGGCTCGTCGATCATAGCGCGTCTTTGCGCGATCACTAGCTTGAAGACCGGCCTCCCTGATCTGCTCATAAATGTCCAACATTTTTGCCCTTAACTCGCTTATGTAATCGCTAAACTCGGTGCGAGAGTCACCAGGTGGACAGCCCGATACAAGATCTGCCGGTAATCTAAATTCCCTTCCAAAATTTGCAAATGCAGGCGTCTTTGCGGTACTTTCATGTACAGCAGTCCGATAGGCAAGCAAGAAGAGAGGTATGTAAGTGTCCCAATCTCTCTGATGGCTGTCAACCACCTTTGCTAAGTGTCGCTCCAATGTTTGGTTGAAGCGTTCGACCATTCCATCTGACTGTGGATGATAAGGGGTCGTTCGAGTCTTATGGATTCCCAAAAGTTTACAAGTTTCCTGGAAAACTTGGGATTCAAAGTTCCGTCCTTGATCACTGTGCATCTCCAAGGGCACTCCGAATCGGGTGAATACCTCGTTTACCAACTTCGTGGCTACAGTTACTGCCTCTTGATTCGGTATGGCAAAGACCTCCGGCCATTTTGTAAAATAATCCATAACCACTAAAACGTAGCGATTGCCCGAATCAGTGATTGGAAATGGTCCAGCGATGTCTAAGGCTATTCTCTCCCAAGGCATACCAACATTGTAGATTTTCATCGCCCCTCTGCTTCTTGTTTGTGGACCCTTGACAGCTGCACAACTAGTGCATTTCCGGCACCAATCTTCGACGTCATATTTGCAATGCAACCAATAAAACCTCTCCTTGATCTTCACCAAAGTCCTCCTAATTCCCAAATGTCCTCCAGAAGATCCATCATGGAACGCTTTTAATACATCCCTTATTTTTGAACGAGGCACCACCAATTGCAAATGCTCGTCCTTGCCGTTTGTTGATTCCCATTTCCTGCACAGAAGTCCGTTATGCAGCGTAAGGCTTTTCCACTGTGCCCATAAACCTTTCGTTACCGCGCTATATTGGGCGACGTCACTCCAACTTGGCTTGTTACCACTTCGTAGCCACTCCAGTATTGGTTTAATATCTGCATCTCTTTCCTGTTCTAATTTCATCGCATCATCTCCCCATGCCTCGTCAACAGTATCAGTCCTTATCACCTTAAGAAAAGCAGTTTCCTTCTTGGCACAATGCTTGCAATCTTCCACGCATGGGCGTCTCGATAATGCATCTGCGTTGCCATGAATTCTTCCTCCGCGATGTTCGATATCAAAGTCAAATTCCTGAAGTTGTTCCAACCATCTGGCTACTTGGCCTTCGGGATCCTTAAACTGAAGCAGCCATTTCAAAGCAGCGTGATCAGTTCTGATCAAAAATTTCCGTCCCAGTAAATACTTCTTGAAATGGTGCAGAGTTTTGACTACGGCCAGCAATTCCCTCCTGGTCACGCAATAATTCCTCTCCGGCTTGGATAGTGACTTGCTGAAGTAAGCAATAACCTTCTCCTGCTCACCATCGCGTTGTGAAAGGACACCTCCTATTCCAA